TATATTATCGTTAACCCCAGGGGCAGCCTGGTCAGTTTCAGCATACATAGTCGAAGCAAAGCCGTCCCCACTCCAATTCAACCTGTTCCGTACTTAAACTGTTTCAGGGACTTAGAACAAAAATCCTGGTTGCAAAATGCGTTTTCACGATTTTCTTTAGTTGGAAAATGCGTTGCAGTTGCAAAATGCGGCTCTACAGCGATGCCAAATTTCATGGTCGCAGAAAAGACGTAGAAAGGACGCCGTCCAGTATAAAGGGGGTATAAGAAAGGTAGGCTTTCAACAGTATATTTTTGTGCCATTGGGAGTTATCTCAATGTGCTTGGTCCACTTCTTACTCTCAAAAAAAAGGAATCAATCTGCAGAGAAAATTTCGGCACTTCCAAACCTGACCTGTGACCTTTGACCTTTTTTTTCCTTGAAAACCGTCAACCGTTAGAATATCAACAGTGAATTTGTTACATCAGTAAAATAACGCTGACACATGACATCTAAATGTGTTTGACGAACGATGGCGAAACAATATTTGCTCAACTAACACAATCTGTGTTTCCCCATGGATTAAGGCACGGCCTACGCTATTGTCTTGGTTTGGCTTCAGCGCATTTAATTCACATGAAAAGGTTTATCTTTATATCCGTAGGTAAACATTTCATGTCTCAAGTACTTGTTGTCATTTTATTTATCTATTTGTTTATTTTTGTAAATCTATCTATCTATTATCTATCTATCTATCTATCTATCTATTAAGTTAAGTTTTGTTCCTTCGCTCTTCAATGATTTTTGCGAGCTGGAGGCGAGTAGGCAAAAAGGTACATGTATGGCTTCCACGGGCAGTTTCGGTTTTACTATTCCCCAACTGGTTATAAATTTTTCTACGTTCTCAAACACCGAGTCTCAGAGTCTAATTAATCGTTCTAAATGCTCACCTCTGCTAGTACAATCAACATAACATACCCATGCGTAGAACACTGGATGATCCAGGGCTTTCTTTAGGGGAGGGGGACAAAGATGAAAAGTATGAGACATAAAACAGATGACTTGGACATTTTTACTAAAATATGCATGGTGTAGGATTGGAAAATTGTTTGGCTTAACTGTCTTGAATCACACGTTTAAACTTGAACTTGGTAAAGGGAGAGAGGAGGGTGTCTCAGACGCCCCCCCCCCTCCCCCCATCCCCTCTCCCGGATCCATAGAGTAGCACGTAATTTCATCAGGTACCCTTTATCTGAGAAGCTTTCTCTATTATATGCATCATTTTTAGTTGCGGGGAATAGAAGATGGGGTTAATATGAATCCCTGGTAAAATACGATCTGGCTGATTTGGAGTCGACTCATCAGAGCTACGGCAAAACATAGGCCTTTGGCATCACAAAACCGTTTTCCAGTCGCTTTGAACAACTGAAAGCTAGAATGAAATTTTTGTGATCAAAAATAAAATTAATTCAACTGTATTGAACATTTTAGAATCAGTTTGCTAGATCAACACTGCAGTCTAAATTTTCATAACGAATCCACACACACACGCACACACCACCACTCCCTCACTGGGCTCGCCAATTTTCAGTTTGGTGTAAAAATACTTAATTTCTGTTCGTAAATTCAAATACACACATGTCATTCGTCACAATATCTGCATTCACTGTCATCGATGCTGTAGGTCGATTTTACCCAAGCCGGACTTCTTGTTCTAAGACAAACAAGAGATTAAAAAAACCAAGTATCGAATACAAAACAATCTGATAATTTCATTAAATCATTTTCCCTTTTTGTCCACCAGGAAATCTTTTCATTTGTTTGCTGGCCTTTGTAAGGCTCACGTTGATATTTCTTCTGAAATTTTCTGCCTTCCAGTGTTGAGAGATTCATGGTTCGCTGAAAAGCCGTGTACAAATTAACGGACGCTCCCAAAAGTTCACCTTTGCGTTTCCAGAGGTCGTCCCTCTTCCCCGGTGGTCCTCGCACGTCTTAACACACGCGTAAGTAGGGAACAGAACATCAGGCCTTCGATTACATTAAATGCGTTTCACTGCCTGTCAATCACGCTCCACTTGTCAGTCAATATGCCACGCGCGGACTGTGGCACTTCGCTTGGCGTTCTCTGCGGGATAATTAGAACTTCAGCCCTGTTGAATTAAAAAAAAAGAAAATATTTTAAGTTAAAGTTCAGATAGTTTTTAATCTGCTTAATTTGTTTTATGACAATGATAAGCAAACATTTAATGTTCAGTATACTGGAACGGGAGTTTAGTCTTTTCAAGAGGCGAGTCAGATTGCAGATAATCTGTAACATTAGAATATTTTTCTTGACAAAATATGGATTCTATTTAATAATGCTTATATAACGCTAATACAAACACTTACATTTTATGATATAAATAAATTGAGATTTGTGAATAAATTTTTAATTTTGTATTTAATCTAGTCGTGTCTTTCCGTTTTTTAATTAGCTTTCATGATTTAATTCTTGGTAATAAACAGGTTGCCTTTGTTCGATTTCACTGGGTGAGTTCATTCAGAGAAAAAAAAGAATTTATTGATATTTCTTATATCTNAATATTTTAAGTTAAAGTTCAGATAATTTTTAATCTGCTTAATTTGTTTTATGACAATGATAAGCAAACATTTAATGTTCAGTATACTGGAACGGGAGTTTAGTCTTTTCAAGAGGCGAGTCAGATTGCAGATAATCTGTAACATTAGAATATTTTTCTTGACAAAATATGGATTCTATTTAATAATGCTTATATAACGCTAATACAAACACTTACATTTTATGATATAAATAAATTGAGATTTGTGAATAAATTTTTAATTTTGTATTTAATCTAGTCGTGTCTTTCCGTTTTTTAATTAGCTTTCATGATTTAATTCTTGGTAATAAACAGGTTGCCTTTGTTCGATTTCACTGGGTGAGTTCATTCAGAGAAAAAAAAGAATTTATTGATATTTCTTATATCTAAGTGCTTCAAATGAACAATTAATTTTTAGGACCTTTCATTTGGACTTTTATTTTGGCCAAATATTCACTCTCCCAAATACAAAGACCCTTTGTTTGAAATGCAAGGGGTTGGCCGGATGAGTTTTATCGTTGCCTTGTCGTGTCTATATGCACGTTTATTATTATCATTAACAAAGGAAATGTTTTTTCACGTAGTTCAAGGGGAGGTACCGTGGGAGCCTAAGGGGAAAGCGTTCGTTGGAAACAATTTCGGTGATAAGCTTAATGTTTAACGATAACGTTCCGATAATCGACATAGCCACTTGAGCACGCAGGAAATTCATGGCGCTTTGTTAATTTTGCAATGTTTTTTCTCTGTTTCTCAGGAAAATCAAGTATGAAACCTTTACTGGATCAGACCAGAAACAGGAAAAGTCTTACAATATGTGAAACAATGTAAACTGTCCATGTTCTAATTTGATCAGTATAATAGGACTTAAAATGATGTATATATAATATAAGTAAAATTATCCACATAATAAAAATGATATAGTAAAATATCTGGATATTCTAAAAAAAATTGAGAGTTCAGGGACTTGAGTAAAAATGTGGAGAAAGACAGACTATGAAATATTCTTAAAAGTTGTACTAATCACAAAATTTGCCGGTGAATCTGTTATTTTTTTCCCTACAGCATCAAACTGCCAGTACTATCTTAATGAATATTTAACAAAATCAGTCGTCATAATATCATACAATATTCCTCCGTGTTTTCGTTAAGTAGCGCAATGGTTGTAACAACACGGGGTTCCCACGGCTCGCTTCCTTCTGTTAATTAGTATTCTCGGTGGCATGATTAAGGTTACGACAGGACAGGAGATAGGGTTACCAGGGTCGTGTCACAACCTTACTTACCACCCGCCGTAAGAATACACATTTTGTTAGTAAAAGAAGAGGAGGGAGGGGCAGTGCGCTTAAACCACCCTGGCCTTCAGAGGATGCTGGAAACTCCCCTCTTCCATCTGCTTGCTCGTTCCTCTGCGCTTCAGGGAGAGCTTCAATAACCCCTACATGTTTGATTCCAGCCTTCATTGAATTATTTTACAAACTTTATATCTGCAATTTCATCTGATCTGAATCGAATTAAAGAAATTAAAGGTTTTTTAATTCTTCTGTAAACATTCTTGGTGTTATATTTCTTCTTCAAACGTTCTTGAAGTTTGAGTGATAAGGATGCACTTTTTGAATGAAAATAAAGTAAATTTATTACTTATTTTCTTGATAGTGATGATGTTAGTTTTTTCTGCTCAAGTAAATTCTTGTTGCTTGTGTGTCTCAAAAATGAAATCTTTACGTTGCATGTAAGGATCTGTATTCTAAATCTTTATATTATAGATATTTTTGGATATTCATATAGGAATAATTCTTGTACTAGATATATCTTACCTTATTAGACTTCTTTGAAATGCTCCAGTATATGATAAATGATCGCAACTATGTGCAAATGAAAAAGGTTAGGAATCAAAGGAAATAAATCACAGAGAAACTTTAAAGTTTAAAAACCTCTGAAAGTAACGCATTTTTATTTGCTCATTTTGTCATAGTAAACCATCAAAGCTGATATATTTTCTTTTTATTTGGTAATTTTGGTTGGTTTAAAACGCATTAATCCAACCGGTGGCAGGGCGAACTGAAAGCACCGACGTCTATGTAGTAGCATTACGTCGCTACTGCTGCTCTCCGTGTGTGGTCCACCGACGTGTGACTCGCAATTTGTTCTAAATATTTAGACAACTGGAACGAGAAGGTAAGCACTAGAAACTCAGATTGCCTCACAGCAAGCGTAATACACAGTTCATCAACCATAACAACATGCACGTGCCCCTGCAGTGAATGTCCGTACGTGAGCATCTGGTATCCTCGTTGCAGGGCGGACAGAAGTTGAGGCGCGGACCGGGGAATGGATGGCAAGGAGAGGTGCTGATGGCGCGAGGAGAACAGCGCACGCGGATGTACGGGCAGTGCTTCACCCGGCCGACATCTCGGCTCTCTGGCAATCTTCTTTGTGATATTTCCTTTCGATTTATTGGTTCCTTTGAAAGATTTGTGCGCAGAAATCAGCCATAGTGACGTTGATCGCCTCTCCTTCCCACTAACCAGGGTTTATATTCACGAGCTCTGCACCCCATCATCGTTGTGTGTGGTCATCTTTAGGAGGTTTATACCGTCTACACGTAACCATCACACGAAAAGGAAGAAAAAAACACCCACCAATGCACTGGCACTCCGATAGAGTAGCTAGCACTTCATCGGACAAGTAAACAGAATAAGGTGCGAAAACGGGAGCGTATAAAGAGCCGGCGGGCGATCTGCCTATTCAGTTATCTTGACAGCGGCGGCAACCTGTACTCTGTAGAACCTTGTTACCAAGGAAATATAGGGACTCTGAAAATTTCTTTTCAAGCGATCCGTGGTTGTGTAATATCTTAACAATTTTCATTATTAAAATCGAATTGTGCTTCTTTTTCTTATTATTAAAAAAAGAAAAAAGTACTTTTTGGGATTTTATAACTATGAATTCTTTGAATATTGCGGTTCTCGTGGCCATCACGCTGCTAGGGGTAGGAAGCAGTTACCGCTACCCCTCCCGATACACCAGAAATGCAAACAAATTCAGATTCAGAAGAAGTCAAGAATTCAGGTTCGAGGACTGTGGTAAGTTTCCCTATTAAATGTGATTTTTAAAATAACTATGAATTTTTTTTTACATATACATAGTTTTATTTCATTTATTTATACACGTTTAGGCATTTTGTTCTTTTGTAGTAATTCTAACTGAAATATTTGCGCTGGTTTGTAAGTTTTATTTAACTCGCATAGAAAAATTATAGGCAAAACTTTCTTTTTGAAAGGTACTTTTTCAATTGAAGATGTGATGTATATTGCCAGCGTTTCCTTTCCATGCTACAAAAAAAAAAAGACGTTCACTGTAATATTTAAACATTAAAACGTTTCTGAGCATTGTGGCCTTACTAAAAGTATAAGATTTTCCAGGAACGAGCTTTTGGTTATGTGCCCTAAAAGAATTGTATTTGTTGGCATTGGCTGTGTATTAGGCCCAGGCATCTATCTTTACTCACAGCATCTGCCTTCGTTTATTTACTATACGTAACTGACAAGATGCATGTACAATCACGAGAAAAAGTGATGAACGAAAAAGATTTATTAAGTTAAAAAATCATACCTCCTTCAAAACACTAAAAATAGATAATAGATTAATGCTAAATGAGAAGTGAAAATGAATTAATAAGATATCTGCGCTTTTAATAAGGCATAAAAGTGTTCGTTTATTTTCCCTAAATGATGATAATTCACTTTATATTATACCTTCCACTCCAAACGCGATCACTGCCTTGTTTTTCATTTCAATTTTGGATCGTATGGATTATCATACAGGAGTTTATACGTTATTTCTCCAAGGTTTTTTTATTATTATTTGCTACAACCACTTGGTGTGACTGAATCGTTTTACCCCCGCCATAAATGCCATGAAAACACCAACTGCATCCAAAACTATTATACCCATCATAACACACACTAGCAATTGTTAGTGGAAATGCATGGAATTAGCAGATGGATATGCTCACAGCGGTACAAGAAGAACGGATGCGTTTGTTCCGGGAGTGTTCCCGATTCCCGTACTGTTCGATTGTCCTCGTTCTCTTTTTGCACCCATTAACCTCCCCTCTCAGCTATCTCCTTACGCAAGAACCAGAGACACAGGTGGATCGTATGAACTTTTACTTCTTGCAGGGCGCATGTACTTGACTGATACCACTTTTTTATTGATGTTTCCGTCGACTTGCCTTGTACTGAGATACAGAAGTGCAGGTTCAAGTTGCAAATGTTTATCGTTTCCGCATTTTAGTAATCGCACCTAACCGCCGAAAATGTGAAGAATCCATTATTTTTTTCTTTTTTATTCTTATTAGTTTTTGACAGTTTGGAAAGAGGAAAATAATTGATTAGCTTCTCTGAGCTAACTGTCATATTTAACGTATGTGTGCGTGCAGGTACGTGTGCGCGTGTGCTGACGAAGAAGAAGGATACACATTGGACATTGGTTTGCGAACAAACAGTGAAGTGAGTTGAAACGAAACGATATTCAAACGCTTAATAAACCATTGAAAAACATGTTGCTACTAGGAACCAACGTTTTGCGATTTCGAAGAAAATTGGTTTGGTTTGTTTTACAAACACAATTAAGACAGCGTCCCAAAGAAAGCTCATTTTTTGGCACTCGAGATGTGTAAGCAAATAAAATCGTTGGGTTTGGATGAACAATTTCCAATTGGGGGTTCTCGGTGTGGCACAAGAAACTTGTTTGAATGAAATATTAAATTACAAAAGATAAAAGTAAATTAAATTTTTTTCGCTTTTTTTGTACCTTAACCATGCTGGTGAGCCTATTTTTTAAAAACTTTCATTACCTGGTAGTAATAATACCAATAGCCTCTTTATCTACTAAAAACTACCATGTGTTCTTCTTGTTGGAAATAGCAAAAAAATATTTTAAATATTCAAAAACCAAGTATGGAATGGATTTATTTAATATCTAAGATAAAATGATATTTATATTTTCCATTTTCGTAGATTGTTTTGAAGACGGCCGAAAAATTGATTTTCGAATTTCCCATCTCAACACCCTAATGCAATCTTTCCATTTTTAACTACGAATTGATCATTTTGGTAGAATTTTTTTTCTTTTTTTAAGGGGGCGACTACTATATCACTCGGGCACTCTTCTTCTTAGACTCTTCATGGCGAGTATCTGGTAAAAGAACTTTTGATCCACTGATACATGAAGTTTACAGGCCTTACATACAACCTTATGTACAACCGGGCATTATTCCCATTATAAGTAACTGTAAGCTTGAGGCACATCCTGATAACGCTTCGCCAATTTTCTTATATATTAATCGATGGACTGTATAGGGTCAAGTCGATGAAAAAGGTGGTGGTGGTGGTGGTGGTGGTGGGGGGGGGGGGGCCGCTTATCCTGGCGTTCGCCTAGAACATCTTTCATGTTCTTTTAAACCTTTTTGTGGGGTTGTGCCACTAAAACTCTCTCTCTCTCTCTCTTTCTCTCTCTCTCTCTCTCTCTCTCTCTTGCAGCACATTTTACCTGTAAGCTTAAGGCACATCCTGAAAATGCTCCGCAAATTTACTTTTTTATATTAATCGATGGACTGTGGAGAGTCAAACCTCTGTGTGTAAAGAGGGGGAATAGAGTACCCTGGCCTTTGCCAATGACATCTGGTTCGCGTCCATGTTCTTTTAAACCTTTTTTTGCGGGATTGTGCAACTAAAATTCTCTCTCTCTCTCTCTCTCTCTCTCTCTCTCTCTCTTGCAGCAGCAGCAGATTTTACCTCCTATAAATCCAAAATTAAATTTCAAAATGTTCAAGGGGAAGCTTTTCGACCACATGCCACACTGACCATAGGTCACTGTGTAACCACGCCAGTGATGACCACCTTGGTGGGAAATCCGTATTCTTTCATTGTTTGCTTTAAGTGTTGGGACCTACCTGCTCATTGTTAGGTACATAAAACAAGTCAAACAGCAAAATGGGTTTATTAAAGGTTTTTAAAATGCAATCAAAGAACTATAATAATACGGCGGTATCGGTCTGATGTACCGCAAAAGGCAGGGTATCAGGTTCCAATCGAATCGATTCTTTCCTCTGATCTGGACAGCGATAAAAAGTATACAATATCCTTTTATCATGCAATTTAGGCGATCTCAAAAGCAAAATAAACCCCATAGTATTTTGTATCATACCAACGAAGCAGCCACACTTGCGAGTAATGCATGTACATCGTGGTATGCGTGTGTGTGTGTGTGTGTGCGCGCCAGTGTGCGTGCGTGCATGTGTGCGTGCATTTGTCTAGTACGATTTAAATATCCATGCTGCCGTTTTTATCGTTTTTTCTCGGGCAAGCGATAAGTGTGTTTTACCTGCTTATCCTTTACCTGCTTTACCTTCCTACAGTGTATTTGTACGTTGACACTCTCTTTTACAGTACAGGCAATGTTAAAGACTTCCAAATCCAACTTATTTAAAAACTCCTAATCAGCTTAGAAATAGTCTGCAGATATGCATTTATTACTTCCCTTGCCAGCATGTACTTACCTGAGATGAAAACAGTGAAAGGTAAAAAGCAGGCTGGCGGAAAAACAACAGAGGCCAGAAGTGCATTCCGATAGTTTATTATCAGGCCACAGTCAGTTTGCAATTTACAATCAGTATCAAAACCAAATTTCTTAATTTCTTAAGCTGTAGTTCTACCGACGAGAACCCATACTTAAGCAATTTTTACAGCTCTTTCTGCTGCCGAATATTCCTTGGTTTAACCATCTATGCCTACCTTAACTACTAGTGTATCATAAAAAGTTATACGAGATGTTCATTACTACATGGCTAACACCGATAACTGAATATCTAGTAGAGGAAATTGAAAAGAAGAAAAGAGAGATGACTTAAACGAAACAATTTAAAGGATCACACGTATCGAACTGATAGAAACAATTGTGAAATATACATTGGACTCTTAGAAAAACGCCCCCTGAACGTAGATTTTGTTCATTCGGCTGAAGCCGCGTAAAGATTAAATGCAATTTTCGCTTAAAATGGCATTTTTGATGAAGGGTATTAATGCCCTTTTTAGAGAGATTGTATCACGTCGCTGAGATGTGTAAAGCTCGGTCTATCTACAAGTGAAATTGAAGTTTTCAGAAGTTTTTTGAATTGTGGATATTTCGGTGTGTGCGAGATCTGTGGTATGTTAATGTTTTATTTTTCTTCTTTTTACACATTAAGTTTCGAAAGAAAATAATAAGGCGGGCAAAGTCTTCTTTACGGTCCCTTGAACAAGTTATAGGAATTGAATTATCCAGAGTGAAGCAAATCAAAATAAGCTAATTATCTGTTGCTCAAGTGCGTACAGGTGGCGTAGGATATGTGAATGTCACAACAGATACAAAGAGCAAATTACTCACATTTTTCATAGGAAAAGAATGTTAAAACGGAACTAACACTTGTCTAATCACCGAAACATCCCGTCAGTTTTAGACTTCCCCATTGAATGCCCGTTTGAAAAAAAACTAACGAAATCACGTCTCTTCGCTAACTCAAAAATTGTTTTTCACTAACTCCATTTGTCACGAAGAATTTGGCAGTTTTATTAACGGTCAGGCTGTTCAGTAGTAAATCGTATGGGGGTTGAGAGACCATTATATTACGTCGGTTCCCCAAGTGCTCGCAGGTGCAGGTAACTTTAATGCTGCAGTTGGCACGCACGTGCAAAACCAATTTTTGTGATGCCACATAAAGCGTGATCTTTTAGCACTGGTAGCACTGGATCACTGATATTAAGAAATCCAAATGTGTGTGTGGTTGTTTGGTCTGTTTATGATAATAACGAGTGCAAAACTGAAGATGAAGGATATTTCATTGTTAGTGAGTTCAGGCTGGTAGACGTATGTAGAGAGAGAGAGAGAGAGAGAGAGAGAGAGAGAGAGAGAGAGAGAGAGAGAGAGATGCGCATGTTTTATGATAACGGGATGGTTTTAGGGAGGGAAGTAGAGAGACATATAGAGTGATTGACAGAAGGGCTCACGTCAATCGTTCATAAGATATTAGAAATACGACACCTTTTTAGTGATAATTGACAGCGTGAGAAGTCAAAAATGTGATTAATTCAACAGATTAACAGTCTGACACTAATCCCCTTGCTGCTTCTCTTTCTGCTACTGCGCTTTCTATTCATCCATAATTGAAATTGGTGTTTAATTTGTACTGTCTGCTGAGATCTACACACATCACAAAAGCACGACTTTGACTCCTGCTCACCGAAACCAGGGCCACGAATCTCTTAGCTTCTTGTGTGGTCTCACATTGCCATGGCAACATATCGTTAACCTTACCGCCAATGTCTTTGCGCGCAGCCGAAAAGGAAATTATTAATTTTATAAGAACGGCATTTAGGAAAGGTTCTACCCTATTTTATTGGTTTTGCCATTCCCGATGAAAGAGAAACATTACGACGAAACGGCAGTTGCTTGTATTACACCCGAAATGCGAAGTTGGAAAAATTAGATCAGAAAATGAGAATCGGATACCTGCTATTTTTTTTTCTTTTCTTTCTTTGGGTAGGGGGGGCTAATAAAATTGTTAGTTTTACATCGACCACAAAGCAATCTTTTCATTTATGGCATCAGTATCTTGCCTTGTTTTATTGTGATTCAAACACTCAATTCATTTTATACCTGTTCTTTTTAATATATTAAATATATTTTGCTTTATCCAGAATTGCAGCATCAAATATATGTCTAAACTTGCCATTAGATTTTACAATGTTTTCAATTTAATTTGTTTTTAAATTTGAAGGACGTACCTGTTAGATATGATACGATATTTTGCAAGTGCTCTTAGCAATTCCTCGTCATATCTTACAGCGTATACTTTCACTGGTGTTTTTCATCTTAAGGTGAAATGCCGATAGCTATAGCTATGGGAATGAAGAGTAAAGAATTCTTTTGAAAGTCGCGAGCGTGCGAACAGGTGCGCACAACTTTCGGACTCTTCATACGTCCTTCATGGGTTACCACCAACATATCATAATTAGTATTTAATCAAGATAATCAACTGCGTCAACGAAGGTGCTTTGTTCGTCACCAAGATATTAAAAAAGTTCTTAGATTTTATTAGTCGTGTCTTCATTGACATTTTGACTTGACGGAGGTCTGCGATCCCAGAGAACTCTCTTGTATCTGGAAACACTACGAAGGGTGACACTATAAACTTATTGACGAACTCTGTGATTTGACCAAGAATTGCACCATGTGATCAAATGTTACAGGATATTTTGTCACAGCATTTGTCTTCCCCTCATTTAATTACATGTCAAAAAGAACACAAACTTGTTCATAACCTAAATTACCTCGGTTCGAGCCAGATATGCCATTTTATTTTATTTATAGGAAGAAATCTTAACAGTCCTACATGTTCCTCTGAGAACTTATCTCCCTTTCTCCACTTTAATTTCAAGAAACTTGAACAAACAGCGCAATGACAGAACAACTAAAATTTCAATTTCATGCACATGAACTTGTACTAAATGAGCATCATAACAGTGAAGTGTTCTTAATATTTTTCAATTCAATTGAATTTATATATAATTAATTTTAATGCATTACATTATTCAATACAGCATAAGGTATATTTTATAAAATTGCATTAGATTATCAAATTGTGTTACATGTACGTTGTAATTAAGCAAATCAAAAAGTTATTCAGTATATTCAAAAGTAAAAACAAAGATCCAAATTTATACTAGGTGTACATAATTATATTTTCAGGTAGAAATCCTAACCGGCCGATCCACTTTCTTGCACTGAGCGTAACCCCCTTCCCCGTCAAATACCCGGGCCAAATGCTGCTCTCCTTCCAGCTGAATGTCACGGAGACACTGCCGACCAGTTTATCCGTGGACACTACGCTGGAGAGAAAAGTACAGCTCCTGTTTAGAGAGACGACTTTCAATATTCCATGTATAAGCGTGGGCAACAGCCAGTTTGGCACTTGGTGAGTATTTTTAAGTCGATTGCATCCCCCCCCCCACCTCAAAAAATAAAATAAATAAATATACGGACATACAAACGTGAAAATTAACGGACAGACAAACCAAAAAGCAGTTTGATTTTCTGTACGACAGAGGGTTACGTTTAGAAATAGACAGACACACAGATAGTGCAGTCAAATAGAAGAAAGCAAAAGGAGATATCTAGACGGTCTAACACCTTCGAGTCATGAATATTGCATCAAGACGTTGCATCAATGTGTTCAAATTGTTTTTATTTTAGATTGATTTTACTTGAAACTGAGACAAGGTATGTTGAGTATATAATCAACACTTTACCGCTTTTTTCCTCGAAACATCAGCACACATAAGGACCTGTGTAGCAGAATGGCCGAAACCTACGACCCGTGCGATTGCCCCGCCTTCTTCGAGGAGAACGACTTTCCCTGCTCCTGCCCCATACCAGACGGAGAATATGTCCTTAAAGACCTGCCGATAGATATACCCGAGATCAGCGGGGGCTTGTCTGTGTTTGCCGATGTGAGTATTTCTGTGTACACGGTTTAGAACGGCAACAACAAAATAATAATAATAATAATAATAATAATAATAATAATAATAATAATAATACAGGTTTCAAGAGAACGTGTGTACATTGCATATATATTGATTAAATATTATATCAAATCTAAGTGTGCATGTAAAAACTAGTGTATGTAAATACAGTTAGCGTAAAAGCTTTCTGTCAATTTAAGGTCTTCTCATTACATTTGTTTTTGACTGACTTCTCTATATGGGAGTAAGGATGCTTTCCCAGAGATTTAGATCGATCTAAAGATTAAGTTTTAGATCGACCTAACTCCCTGGGGGCTCACGCTAAATTGCAGTCAGCCGAGCGGGCACCATAGTTAATTACCCCCTTACAGCTTTTAGTAGGTGGGACAGACGCTTAAGCCGGCCAAGCTGACAGTAATCTAGTGAGACTCCCCACAGGGATAGATCGATCTAAAAATCTATGGAAATGGGGTGTAAGTCTGTAAACGACGTCAGGTGGAGTAAGGTTGTGTTAGAGAATCCACGTGGCACTCATTCGAAATAGTGATCGTCACACCTATCGCAATGCTCTTGATATCTCTAGTTTTTTTGTTTGTTTTTTTTCAACTCTCGCTTCTATTTTGTTACAGGGTGATTATGAGCTAATGTCCGAATTCTATGACGGTGACACTGGTCGAGAGCTGGGGTGCCTCAGATTCACAATGTCCATGGAAAAGGACAAAGAAGATGAGGAAGAAGATGATTCGTGGTGGGGAAAACGCTAAATCAGTGGAGTACTCGCAGACATAAGATGTGATAAAATACCGCAAATGTGATCTAATACAGCCGATCTACTGAACAGTTTCTATTGTATACCTCTTCTATTGTTTTTTATCAAAGATATATGGCTGACGCAAGTTTAAGCGTCCCGATTGTGTTTATTCCGAAAGTGCCAGTCATCTAATGTAAAATGGTGCTACGAGCAAGGAGGAGACGTGGCTAATTTTTGCCTCGACATGGCCGTACCAATTAAGATTGTTTGGGACAGCGACAATCGCTGCGCTATATAGCAATAGCTACTTCTTGGAAATCATTTAAGAGGTGTAGAGATTGAACGATGAAAACAGGAGAGTTCGCTTCGAATTCTGGCGTCATAGGCCTACATCTCCCACAAGAGTAATAAAATATCTGATATAACACGTGACAGATGACACCAGACGAGAGAAAGAAAGAAATGCGTTTTTAAAGGAGCTTTCATCTGCTTAACAATTAAAAATAAAGTTTTATGTTGCTCCATTGTGTTCTTGAAATAAGAAGGAATAAAATTCTGGAATTATCTTTGTAAATAATGATGTAGTCATGTTTTCATTCTCTCTCTCTCTCTCTCTCTCTCTCTGTGTGTGTGTGTGTGTGTGTGTGTGTGTGTGTGTATGTCGAGTTCTAAAATTAAACTTTAGACGACCTCACCCGAATTTGCCAGCTTCCATCTCCAGTACCAACGAGTCTTGCAACTCAAAGAGTGAAAAAAACATGATATGCTATCTGACTGACTCTGCCCTCAGTTGTCGCTCAAGGAACCTTGCTGGGTCAGTTCTTATTTATTATCAAGAACAACAACCTTCAGGCTAGCTGTCCTAACGACATGCAAGTTCGCGGATGATTCAACAGTCTTTGAGGTGTGTGGCTCTGATACTTATGTCAGTAAAGCGCCTAAATTCAAACTTTTGAGTGTTTTCGTTTCTGACATGCACACGGTTCTATTATCTACGCCAACAGAAAATGTGCCAAACTGTCCTGAAAAGATCTTGTACAGATGTACCAAAATTTAATTGCCCTTTTTAATATACTTTTCTTGTGTGGCACCCTGGGTTAACCGGTGAGCAGTGCTATATAAAATAAAATATTCAATCGAGGGCACTAGGAAGTATAATTCTTGACTTATCATATGTCGATGCACTGGTAAAAGCAAACTTAGTGGTTATACTGATATGGTTCGGGTGCCCGAGCAATGGTAGATAACTCCTGTACCCCCTTCAGTAACACATCCACTACATCCTAAGATAGTGAAACAGCTCACTGCAAGTAGGTCAACTCTGTCGGTGACTCTGTCAACAAAGTGACGCTGAAGCGTGTAAGTGTCTGCACCTGTAAGCGTCCACCTTTACATACAGCCATGAAGATCACCAGTATTAAAGTATACAAGGTGGACCTACCGTTGAAAGAGGGGGCGTATAAATGGTCGGCAGGAAAGAGTGTGGAGACATTCGACAGCTCGGTTGTTCAGATTGACACGGATGCTGGCATCTCGGGATTTGGGGAGGTACATTCACTTGGGAAGTGGTCTACATTGAGTGTGATATCTGATGTGATAAATTAAAACCTGGACTTGCTTCACATAGATATAAAGTGCCTGGGCTTCTTTTGCAGGACAGTAAAATTTGCAAAGTAGTTAAGTCCCCCAAGATCGATTTTGTGATAAAGGCCCTTGAGTCCCTTTGGTCTTTTATACCATAGTTTGCCGCGTTTCACTTGCATACTTGAATGTTGAATATTTCAAACCACTCATCGAACCCTATGTTATCAGAGTCAAGGGGGTTGAACTCCCAAGACGAAAGAACGTACAGTTCATTGACAACAATATTGACATTTTTCTCGTTCACACACAGTACACTTAAAATAATATGATAACCGGGTAACTACATACATTGGCTTTTATTTGTCCCAAATGTGCTAATGCAGTATAGCACAGGTGCTGAGCTCACTTATGCCCCGATTTGGTGAGCCTTTCGATTCACACTAAAATTGACCGATATAAGCGTGAGACCCGGTGCAAAGCGAAGATAAATCCCCGAAATTTCTGCAAAAGTGTTGAAATAATTACGCTCTATGTAGGCCTACGTACCCGTTATTGAACCAGAAAAGTACAGTTGTTATCGTGACAAGTCTCTGTCTTCATTTTGAGGGTGAGTGTAAAACTAGAATTCTTGAAATTTCAAACCTTAATTTTAAAATTAGTGTGTATTTGAATCAAATTGTTTGAAATTACAGGTGTGCCCTTTGGGCCCTTACTACCTCCCATCCTACGCCAGGGGTGTGAGGACGGGAATTCAAGAACTGGGACCCCACCTCATCGGACGAAATCCTCTTGAAATCGGTAACAATCAAACCCCCCTATGTACATGTACATATGTACATGAAAGTTTAGCGAACTTCCACAAGTCATTAAATTGACCTTCTCTTTAATAAACTTCCCCAAAACACAGGGGGTATATTTCAAATATTATAAATGTTTAGTGAGATAATCTTATAGATAACAGGAATACTGCATATATTCGACAAAGACTATTTTTTTATATACATTGCAGAGATAAAAAGGAATAAAAAGAAGTGAATTTTAATTCAGGGGCACTGAACACCGTAATGGACTACCACTTAAAGGGGCATCCCTACGTGAAGTCACCCATAGACATGGCGTGTTGGGACATCCTTGGCAAGGTCACCAAACAGTCTGTTTGTACCCTGTTAGGGGGACGATACGGGGAGACGGTTGATCTGTACAGAGCCATTAGTCAGCTACCCCCAGAACTGATGAAAGAGAACGTTCTTCAGTATAAGAAGGAAGGGTATAAAAAGTTTCAGGTATGGTTTGGCATTGTATGTCGCTTAAAACATTTTGGTTAGTTATTTAAGACATCTATGGGCTCAGTTAAACCGAGAAAGAAACCCAATTGGAAGGTAATGAGGCCTACATGCTTTTTGTGAACCGGCGGTATGCGGTATTCTGCATATGTTTTTTTTTTTTTTTTTTTTTTTCGCTGCACATTTCTACTGCGCCCAAATTTTACGGTAACGTTTACATTACTCAGATTCCCCCGTCGGCCTTTTTCAAAGTCGTTAAGCGATTCAAACCTTTTCGTATTTGCAATATTGCAATGTTGTAGAAGCTTTCTAAAAACGATCAACAAGGATTCGCTTTTATGTAATAATAGTGCCAAATTCACCAGCGATGAGACATAACTGCGACAAATGGTTTTCAACGTGCAGCTTTTGATCTTCCTCAATTTAATAACCCAACATCCAGACTTAACAGTACTCTTTAAAAATATACAGGGAACCGCAAAGAAATATTATTATTATTATTATTATTATTATTATTATTATTATTATTTCATTCATTTATGTCTTATTTATTTAATTCTATTGGCATGAGCTGAAGTTTATAAGAGCATTACCTAGCTTGACGTTCTCGAAGCAGTATCTCTAACAATTTTTCCCGTCCTAAAGTGTCTAAGTTGTAGGGATTTTTCTGCATAGCCATACTTATGCCGTCATTTGTGTTCGTTTCCCAGCTAAAGGTGGGTGGCAATCCTGACGAGGACATCGCCAGAATTCGTACAATTCGCAAAGCTCTGGATCCCGGTGACGTTCTGGTCGCAGATGCCAATACCGGGTGGTTACCACACGAGGCTATTCGTATAGCAAACGCCGTTCAAGACCTGGACGTCTACATCGAACAGCCGTGCCTGTCGTATGATGAATGTATGCACGTGCGACAGCACTGCAGCAAGCCATTTGTTCTGGACGAGAACATAGATGACATAGATTCCTTGGTTCGTGCGCATGTTGACAGAGCTGCTGACGTTGTGAATTTGAAAATTAGTAAATTGGGAGGGCTAACGAAAGCAAAGCAGGTATTATCTTCACTTGGAATAAATATTTTATTCTATCGATGTCTGAAAAATGTTTATCACTTTAAAATTTGTTTAATTATTTTTTATAGATATCTTGATTAATTTTTTTAAATCTTATTCTATAATTTGTTCATGTCTTTGTTCTAATTTTAGTATTTCCTTATTTTAAAAGTAAGAGCTCTTACATACTTGGTTTTGTGTGTATGTATCAGTATGTGTGCGTGTTATATTCAATATAGTCCCGTGGTTTTAGGCTCGTGACCTTTGTGTGACCTTTGGCCTAGCAATGACCTTGGAGGATACTTGGGGCAGCGACATTGTGACAGCAGCTATTGCACACCTGGCGCATAGTACACCGGAAAAGTACCGCTTTACAACAACTGATTTTAACAGCTACAACACAGTAGGGTTCTATAAAGTTTTTCTTTTAGTTGAATTTGTCATTTAGTTTAAGGGTGTATACAAAGTGACCAACAATTTCATAGAGGTAAAATGAATTCCGAACGAATGTTTGAAACTGCTTAAGAATAAGATGCAGAAGGCGATGGATAGAGAAGCACTTTTCTTACACAGCTATTTTGGGAAATTATTTCAAATTGATGAATAAATGTCCCATTACCATACCTTAATTTCACCGTTCTCACTTCCAGGTGAGCATTGCTGCGGGAGGGCCCCAAAGGGTGAACGGCACAATGCAGGCAAGCACCGAGCCCGGACTCGGTATAACGCCACATCCGGAAGTACTAGGCAAAGCTATCGTGACCATATGAGTCTGCGTAACCAAGTTCAGTGGTTGAATGGATCCAAAATATTTCAGCGTTAAGCGTTGGTTTGAGGACATATCCCCCGCCAGCCAAAATCAAGCTAAAAAAAAACTTGATATAATTCTGGTTGTCATAACGGTTATAATGTTAATAATATTATTATCATATAGGCCTATGCCTAGTGTTCATGAGCTTTATTTGTATTTAGATAAAGTGTGGTCATTTTGCCGATGTAGGGGTGAAATTGTTTCTTGCTTTTCTCTTTTACCTCGGTTCGTATTGTTTTGTACATGATCTCAATGTTTCTGTATACAGTATGCGAGCCCTTTTCCATACTGAGGCTCCTGACAGAGCAGGACTTAGCTGTATGTATAAATTTTCAATCTGTTGAGCCAACGATATATGTAGTTTGACACCGCTAAATTAAATGACTATGTTTTTGGCAATAATGATTTATTGGATAGACGTAACAATATCATAAATATTACTATGGCGGATTTATTGCAGTGCCCCCTACAGTCGCACTGATTTGAATCTTCCACTAATTGCCTCTAAGAGCCGGGTTATTTTTCATCATTACTCACCGACTTTCATAAAGTGGATGGGTTTTAAATATTAGCATTGAGCAGGTACAAATATCCATCAGTGCGAACCAATACATTATATGTATATGATAGAAATTTACAGAAAATTGAACTCAATTTCCCTTCTCATTCAACCACATTGTGGCCATTAAAACGATTTGGAGACGTCTTCATCTGAAGACTCTCATCACGTCTTTAAGAAGTGAGTGTATTAGTTAGATATATCCATCAAAAATTCCCCATAGACTTGCAAAAATCTGTTTCAAAAGATATAATTAAGCAACGAGTTGAGAAAAATATGTACAGTTTTACATGCATGATACGCATGTATGATCTCCAATCCATTCCTCCTGAACCCGATGCACGTTATAGAGGGCGATATTCACTGAATGTCAGTGTACTCACGCATATTTAGGGGCGGATTTAGGCCGTCTTCTGCGTCTTCTGGAAAACGGTCAGATTTTCAAGTTTACATTGACGGGTGTCTTATTCTTTCTGTCGGAAGACGGTCAAAAATGGAGGATGAATCAACAAAGATAATTGGGAAGACTGTCAGAAAATTTCTCTGGATCCGCCCCTGTTATAAAGATTCCCAGTTTTAACTGTAGCTAATCGTACAATGTAGACAATGTAGTCAAATCAGACCCACTATTTTTTAATATTAAAATGTAAAAAAAATGAGAAATCAATACGATTTATCTTTTGGCATGTACAAGTGGGCCTGTCTTTGCGCCACAGACCCGACATCTTCTTTAGAGCTCTGTGGTGGTACATTTAAAACAAGTGCAAGACGCCTTCCATGAAATATTCCAAACGTCTTGATATCGGTTTTTGCATCAAGACGCTCACCAGGTGTTTGTCAAACGAAATCATTTTGTATTTTCACGTCTTAGAGACGTTGTTCGAACGCTTTTCGAAACAGAAAACGTCAAAGGCGTGTTCGTGACCAAAACCAGTGATTGACAGATAAGAAGCGGAGCTTTAAAATGGCCAATGCGTTTTTGAACCGATAAAACCGTTTGTAGTGAAGGGAATACGTCACTTAATATACAAGCCAATTTCAATAAAAGTAAAAATTCGTGTATCTCAATAATGCAAGATTTATAATACCAAAAGAAAAAGAGGTTAATTTGCACGATGTTTGATTCAAACGATTAGTCTTAGGACAGATTTTCTGTCATGGCAATTGCATCGCAATACAGGAACATAAGAAACTTCAAATACAATCCTTACCATATTATATACTGTTCATCAACTGAAATAAGGTGTTCGTTTTGCAAAAAAAAATATGATTTTAAAATTTTAGTGTTTCATTATTCAGCATGCAAGAAAGAAATGAAGACCTTTTACAGAACTTTTACTGAAGATTGTCGTGATCAGTTGAAAAATAGTCAAAAAAGCATACACAACAAGACTTCCGCTCGGAGACCCTGGGATAACGGATTTAATTGGTCCCCCTTCAGTTCCTACTGTGTCATAGCAATTATAGATCTGATTCAAATAATAAACGTTGACTGTAAATCCAACATAATATGTCATATCCCTTTTTTTAATGTAATTTGGCATGTCAGTATTGAAACGGAACTATGTCATTTCTCTCTGTTTGTCCTTCCTCTCAAAATCAATAAGCATGACTCCACACGTCGCTTTCCCTCCTAAAATTTTGTTTGAGTGTATTAAAAAAAGGGAATGCTCATGCCTTGAGAATATCTGGTGTGATCATAATGAACAAATATCATGGTTTGTGCAGTCTACTTTATGGATTATCAACTACTCAAAGAGCATTGTCATTATCTTCACACTGCAAATTGCGGGTATTCGCGTCAAAACATAATTGTTCTCGTGATGAAGTATTGATGATTTGAAAAGGTTATTTTTCCCATCCTCCTTTTCACACTAACACGGTGAAGTATCGTCTATCGAAAATTAGATATCCCGTCATCGTTGTTATTGGTAAAAGGTGTTAGATATTTCTCATTATATCTGAAATATTTCTCGGAGTCAGTAGTAGAATATTTACTTTGATGTATTATGCCTCTTCGGACTAAAGGAGCGCACTGTAATAAGTGTTTTATTATCATCAGAATTTTCGAGTTGCTGTTCGATTGGTGAACGCAGCGTTTCTCACGTACAACAAGCAGGTAAGATAAAGTTCCTGTTGTGCAATATTCTCCACTTTTGTGACAATTTGTGTGTGGTACTCAATGTATGGCAGAGCTGCACAAATTCTAATTTTAATAGACTCAAAAATCCCAAAGCCTCCATACTTAACGTAATCAAAGCCTAAACAATGCTTACAATGGCAGTTTAGATAATGCCAATTACCCATATATCTGTCATCATTAATATATAGCATTTCTGTGTCGCCAGCTAGAATTGAAAGGAAAAATGGTTTTTCATTTGTTAACGAGAGAAGATGAGCTGTATTAGAACTTGCGGGTGTATGTGATTGATAACTGTCGGTTAGACCTGTTCCATGTTGTTTGTTTTCTGTATGTTGTTCAATTAAAGTACCTGCGGCCTGCAACACAGAATGAAAAATATCGCCCATTCGCAATATCACTTAGCTGATTGCTCAATTGCCCCACAGCAAATCGTCTTACAATCAAAACATTGATGAGTGTGTAACGAACTTGCGCGTCTTATATCTATGGCAGTTTATATTCTGTTATTATTTCTTAATCTAAAGAAGATATATGTTAAATGAAGCGTACAGAAAAAGAGTATTTTGCAAGCATTCCCGAGGGTACTAATATCACAGAGCATTCATTACAATCATGTATCAATATTAATAGTGCTGCTATTCTAGTGCTCATCTAGTGTTGAGCAATGATATGTGTCACGACAAGCTTGTATAGGTTGCAACCTATGCACAACTGTACAGCAGTTGCTCGAGTGAATTTACGCTGTCAGACAGACTCTTCAAAGCAATGCATTTTTGGGTTTTTAATAACTACATTGGATTTTTAATAACTATCCGGCATTTTATGCGTTTTTATTTTTTACCTTGCATTTTGAGGAAAGCTATAATATAAAACGGCTTGATGTTTCTCTCATCATACCTTGTGCAACCTCATATCATGCTGATCAACGAAAAATAATATAGAATGAGTTTAAGTGTAACGGTGATGAATGCAGCCTTAGTTGCTATCTAATGAAATACGACGCATCTAAACTCCATATGGCACCCATCTTGAGCAGAGATAACGAGTACCACAACAGCTGGTTCGAGACAAACGGGCAGAGTAGTATCATCAGAAGGGAGTAATAGGCTTTCGTGATTAGTTTTTCGATTAATTTTCACCTCATTGCCTCGACTGTCGATTTTGTTTTCAGTAAAGCAGCGCCTTACTGCGTTTGACACACTAACTCAAACTAAATCAAGCAGACTGCCAGATTTCTAGATTAGATTTTGTTACATTTCTGACATTTCAAGCGATGTCTCACTCATAATCCCATCAGTGATTGTATCTGACAGATAATGCATGTTGCAAATGGCCATTCTGTCCATAGAGAAGAAGGACCGGACATTAAGATATCGTTATCCATCTTCAGGCCCCTTGCCACGTGCTCGCTTTGTCGTCCAGACCATTGTGTATAAATTGGATCGCAATTCAGAGTAATCTTTTTAATCTAACTGGTAATATATAGTGATAACTGACCAACTTAACTCAGAATAGATTTTAATATTTGCGCTTTGATTGTTTTGGTTTTCCTTCACCAAAACCATACCTCTAGTCCTTGTATTTTTTTTTTTAATCTCTAAAAGCCAAAAGGATAGCAAATCTTGATTTGGGGACAAATATTTGCTCAAAGGTGTGCTCATTTGCTCAAAGGTGTCAATGTTTAAAAAGACGCCAGATGCAAATTTCAATATTTACTTTTTCTGCAAAAACTACTCATTCTTGCCAATTCACTAATTCAAAATGATAGAATTCCTAAAAAAGAAAAATAAATTTAAAAAAGACAATACAGGAAGATATGGCGGCGTAATTGACGTACTTGCCAGTCACTTAGAACTAATTAATTTAGTCAGAAATGCTATAATACAAGTGCAAGGACGGGTCTAGCAATGATTCTCAGAAAGGAGAAAATTACTTTTATTTCTAAGGGAAATTTCGATTTGGCTGGTTAATCCTATATTGAATACCTTTTAACCATTGTTTATATGAAAAGGTTAAGAGAATAGTCTGAGTGCGAGAAACTCATCAGTAACGTTTAAGCCATGCCATGCCTGTACATTACGGCATTGAAACAAGTTGGTTTTGATTGATAGCATTTCACCATTTGAATAAATGAAATTTGTGAATTCACACATTGTGAAATGAATATAATTTACACCGGTGTACACAAATCTCCATACACCACGACAAAACTGTTTAGAGAGAAGTTAGTCCAACTTGAGTTAAATGTCTTTTATCGCTTAAATCTAGAACTCGATATTCAATTCAAATGTCTCGTGTTTGAGCTTACTTGTTATTAACAGGGATATCACGCGAGAGCGCGCGCGCGCGCGTGTGTGAGTGCACGAGGTTGTCCTCTTTGCACTTCCTTCGTTATTCGCACCCATCAATCAGCAGTCATTGTCGAGGAACAGCAGTTGTTACCGTCTCGTTCAAATCTATTATAGTCGAGTCNGTATAAATTGGATCGCAATTCAGGGTAATCTTTTTAATCTAACTGGTAATATATAGTGATAACTGACCAACTTAACTCAGAATAGATTTTAATATT